CGCCCACTGCCTGCACCTCGGCTACGGGGGCCGCTGGGGGTCTTGCCGACTGGGCTCGCCCTCCGCCTGAACCCCGCCTACAGTGGGTCCCGCAGGATCTCACTGCGCCCTCTGCATTTATCTGGGCAGGGCTAGAAATGGTCTACTTGTAGTCCGTCTTCATGCTTCATCCGGTGGCCAGGCAGAAGGAACGGCACGGGCAAGGGCCTGGAAGGGAATCCGAGTGGCCCATGTCAATACGATGCCCATAACTCAGCCCCGTAGCGGACGGGGGCACGAGGAATTGGGTGTAGAGCCTGAGTCTCAGGGTCATGATCTCTAACCCCGGCGAGTTCTCGAGGATCCCTGGGCAGCTTTGCCGCTCTGATGGCTCTGCTTCTAGGCTCTTTATCTTTGGAATTGAGCCTAAGGATTCTATAGAATCAGAGGAACGCGCTCTTTTTATAGACAGGGAAACTGAGGCTTGGAGGAGCCTTGGTCTGGCCAAGGGAAGAGTGGGAGGGGCGGGCTCAAAGACCAGGAACCTCAAGTCACCTGAGCCTGGCAGCGTCAAGGGACACCCCATGCTGGGTGTGTCGTCTTCTCTTTGCATAGAATCTTGAGCTGATGATGGCTTTGTGGGTTTTTTATTAAGAGAAAAGGCTTACTGAATGCTTTATATGCATCAATTCATGAATCCGTACCACAGCCTATGAGATGTTACACCCATTTCACAGATGGAGAAACTGAGGCCAGAAGAGGAGAGCTTACCTGCCCAAGGCATCTAGTGACCAGAGGGGCAGCCAGGGTGTGACCCTGCCTCATCTGACTTCGTAGTTGGGGACACATTTAACTTCTGCTTTCCTGTGTGTGTTTTCCAAGAGCATCATTAAAAAGCGGGTTTTGCCCGGGCATGGTGGCTCACACCTGTAATCCCAGCACTTTGGGAGGCTGAGGTGGGTGGATCACCTGAGGTCAGGATTTCGAGACCAGTCTGGCCAACGTGGCAAAACCCCGTCTCTACTAAAAAAAAAATACAAAAATTGGCTGGGCGCGTTGGCTTATGCTTGTAATCCCAGCACTTTGGGAGGCTGAGGCAGGCAGATCACAAGGTCAGGAGTTTGAGACCAACGTGACCAATATGGTGAAACCTGTCTCTACTGAAAATACAAAAATTAGCCAGGCGTGGTGGTGCGTGCCTGTAATCCCAGCTGCTCGGGAGACTGAGGCAGGAGAATCGCTTGAACCCGGGAGGTGGAGATTGCAGTGTGTGGAGATCATGCCATTACACTCCAACCTGGGCAACAGAGCGAGACTTTGTCTTAAAGGAAAAAAAAGCGGGTTTTTGGCCGGGTGTGGTGGCTCGTGCCTGTAATCCCAGCACTTTGGGAGGCCGAGGAGGGCGGATCTCCTGAGGTCAGGTGTTGGAGACCAGCCTAGCCAACATGGTGAGACCCCATCTCTACTAAAAATACAAAAGTTAGCTGGGTGTGATGGCGCGCGCCTGTAATCCCAGCTACGGGGGAGGCTGAGGCAGGAGAATCGCTTGAATGTAGGAGCAGTGAGCTGAGATCGTGCCACTGCACTCCAGCCTGGGTGACAGTTGAGACTGTGTCTCTAAATAAATAAATAAATAATTGTGAAATGCTGCAGAGTGCTAGTGAATAGGGAGTGAGCATTCGTCAAGGGCTATGGGGTGGGAGGTCCTGAGAAGGTGCCATTTGAGCTGAGAGCTGGAGCACGTGCAGGAGCTGGCCGTGGTCAAGCTGCGGCAAGAGGGCTCAGCCAAGGCCAAGGCCGTGTGATGGGAACAAATCTGGAGCCAGGACTTGCTCCTTCTGCCAGTTCTCTGTGAGGGGAATTGTATTGGTTCCCTAGGGCTACATAACAAATGACCACAAACTGAGCAGCTTAAAACCACAGGAATTTATTCTCTCACCGTTCTAGAGGCCAGAAGTCTGAAATCAAGGTGTTGATGGGGTCATGCCCCATCTGAAAGCTCTTTGGGAGGATCCTTCATTTTCTCCTCCATCTTCTGGGGGCTCTGGGCGTTCCTTGTCTTGGGGTCACATCATTCCAGTTCCTGCCTCTGTCTGCACACGGCCTTCTCGGATTCTGTGTGTCTTCTCGTCTTATATAAGGATGCCAGTCATTGGATTTAGGACCTACACTAATCCACTATGATTTGTTCTTAACTAATTACATCTGGAAAGACCCTGTTTCCTTTCCCTCCCTTCCTCCCTCCCTCCCTTTCTTCCTTCTCTCCATCCCTCCCTCCTTCCTTCCTTCCTATACTTTCTTTTCTTTTCCTTTCCTTTTCTTTCTTTTTTCGAGATAGGATCTTGCTGTGTTGCCCAGGCTAGAGTGCAGAGGCACGATCATGGCTTACTGCAGCTTTCAACTCCTGGGCTCTATCAATCCTCCTGCCTCAGCCTCCTCATTAGCTGTGACCACAGGTGTACACCACTAGGCCCAGTGTTTTGCCCTTGTTGCCCAGGCTGGAGTGCAATGGCGCGATCTCAGCTCACCACAACCTCTGCCTCCCAGGTTCAAGTGATTCTCCTGCTTCAGCCTCCCACGTAGCTGGGATTGCAGGCATTCACCACCACGCCCAGCTAATTTTGTATTTTTAGTAGATTTTGTATTTAAGGTTTTTTGTATTTAGGGTTTCTCCATGTTAGTCAGGCTGGTCTCCAACTCCTGACCTCAGGTGATCCGCCCACCTCGGCCTCCCAAAATGCTGGGATTACAGGCATGAGCCACCGTGTGAGGCTGCTAATTTTTTAAGTAAATTTTGCCCTTGTTGCCCAGGCTGGTCTCAAACTCCTGGGCTCAACCAATTGTCCCACCTCAGCCTCCCAAAGTGCTGGGATTACAGCCGTGAGCCACCATGCCTGGCCATTTTCTGGTGTTTATAAGCCTCAAGTTTATGGTGTTTTGTGATAGCCTGCATAGACTAACACAGGGAACTTGGACCAAGCAGAGCGATCTTTCCAACTATGGATACGATTGTGTCCCTCCCCAGTTCACACACCCTCCTTGGCTCCCCAGTGCCCTCAATGTGGAGCTCATACTCCTCAGCATTCAAGGCAGTCAGCCCCTGCATTTACTTTGTGGCTTACCTTAGCATTGCCTCAGCTCACTGAGCTAGACTCTGCACAACAGTGAGGCACCGAGACATGGAAGCCGTCTCAGAGCAGATCAGGACCCCCCAGGTGCATCTCAGCGGGATAGGGCTGCAGCTTTCTCCTTGCAGGAGGCCTGACTCCAAGTGCTTTTGAGTTAAATCTGCTGCCAACTCCTCCTCCACCATTCACAGGCCAGGGCATCTACTGTGCGTTGGCCACAAGTGCTGGGCCTGGGCAAACCTGGCCCCCACTCCCTATAGTGGGACAGGTGCAGGCGGGGGTGGCTGCT